TCCCATGGAACGGGATGGTTGGGTCTTGAAAATCAATGCTGCGGAGTGTTGAGGTGTCGAGGTGTATATGAGAAGAATTTAAACCTGCAGTGCGCAGAACTGTCTCATGGTACTTGCCCACAAAGTCCCAGATGCTTCCTGTACTGTATATCTATATACCTAAATTGAAGCTATTTCGGGTCTGGTGTCAATCACTAATCATAAACAATTAAATATGTATCTAAATTTAAACGCATCTTTTGTGCATCGGAGAAAACATTCGAACATATCATATCAAAACAAACCGCAAGAAAATCACAGCAACATCTATTTGAAAAACAAAACTCAAAGAAAAACAAACAAAAAAAGAAAACTTTTAATATGTTTGAAAAAATGCAAATAAAACAAAAATAAGAAACAAACATTCCAAAAACCCGCTCAAAAACATTTTAAAAAACGAAAAGCATCAAAAAAAACATTTAAAAAAAAATGAAAATCCTAAATATTCATTGAAAAACATTGAAAATCACTTTAAAAATATGAAAATTGTTTTTAAAAAAAATGAAAAAAAACAACAACATTAAAAAAAAACTCATTAAAAAATCATGAAAATCAAAAAAACATCGGAAAAAAAAAAAACATTTAAAAAAAACCATCTAAAAAAAAAAAATGAACTGTTTTGAGGCAAAATAAAACAAATCATAAATTTCATCATAAAAAAACACACACATTTTTTCATTAAAAAAAAAATAGTTGTTTATTCAAAAAAAACATCTAAAAAAAATGCAGCAGTTTTTGAACTCTCAAATATATGTATTCATGTATATATTTATCCCCATGAATCAGTCCCTCTCCACCAGAGAAAATCGGCGATTTTCTTGGCTTGCGCCTGCCCTCCGGGTGGGGCCGGAGGAGGGCTCTTCTGAGGTCCCCTTCCCTGATTGCGAGGAAGTTGCGGTGGATGTGCTATGCACTTGGCAAGTACACAGGATGAGGATGAAAGTGATACAAATGACTATTTTGATGATGATGATGATGATGAGGAGGAGGATGAGGAGGAGGAGGAGGATGAGAAATATGAGCAATATGAGAAATATATAGAAATATGAGAAATATGAGACATATGATGAGGAGGAGCAAGATGAGGAGGACAATGGTACAGGTGATCATGATCTACGCACTCACTAAGTTGCCTTTTGTTGGCTTTGAGGAGAAAAGCTGGACGAAATTGGACGGCTGCATGTATATGATGAAGGAAAATACAAACTGCTGGCTCGTTGGAATTTAGACTGCATCGACAGAACACTCATCCGACTTTCCAAACTCAGCAGATTGAATCATGGGCGTAAACCTACGTTGCGGATCATGTACTCTGCGCCATATCCACTGGCCACACAGCCCCTGTTGCGGTGTGCATTTATCAAATTTGCGGATATCCCTCCAAATATATACATATATAATACGTATACACACACACAAAAAAAAAAAATGGGTGTTTCTGGTCATGTGTATGTTGATTGTATGAGCTGTTGCTGCATATCTGAATAGGCATTTCTTTTTCACAACACATAGAGGTACAAACAAACGCATCTGGCCGCGTGTATTTTTGTTGTGTGTTTGGATTTGGATGCAAGCGTTCTGAAGCCAGTCTTCGAACACCTGTCCGTTCTCCTTTCCCTTCTCCTTTCCCCTTTCCTTTGCAAATGGAACGAAGTGGTACTCCAGGTTGAAAGTGCATGGCTCCGCCCAGAGGTGGTTGCGCCAAAACATGAAATTCAGTCGTAGCCAAGTTTCGGATAGACCCATATGGAGGTGTCCTAAAGTGGGTGTACCCCTAAATCATGAATTCTTATGGGATTTTCCAGGAAATAACCCATCCAATACTCGCTTGGGGATCCCCCATGACTTAGGAAAGTCTCATATTTTTTGAGGTTGACCCCCCATCCGCGGCCTTCGCAGCTGAGGCACCAGGAGACCTGGTTTCAACTAGGACACAAAAAAAATATGAGGGAAAAAAACATGATTTATTCTTTGGGTCAAAATGAATCTGAAAATAAGTCTGATGCGTTTTTTTTTACACATAATAACAGATTTGAACCACCAAAAAAGTCGTTATAACCAGATGAAGGAGCCCTACAACGACACACACGGATCGACTGGCTCACCGGGTTGCGGGCCACTTTCCCTCGAGTCCGACAAAGCGGTCCGACAAATCCCATAGATTAAAAGAATTGCCATGCATAATCATGTATATTTATGTATAATTATTCCCATTATTGTTGGTTTCTAAATGTTTCATGGAATTGCCATGGAAATTGCCATGATTTGTCCCACTATCATGTATAATCATGTACTGGTTGGTGGTATACCCACCCCTCTGAAAAATATTAGTCAATGGGCAGGATGACATCCCATAGAGAAAATGAAAAATAGAATTAATGTTTGAAACCACCAACCAGTGTATATTGCCATTGGATTGAATTCTACCCCTCTTTTCTTCAATGGACCTATTTCTGTCATGCTTCATTGCTGTGGTGCCGGTGCAACCCCGATTTCGTGATCCGCCCGGCCCTGCCTTGTGAGGGCTGTGCGGCTTTGGCACAGCCTGGCATAACGAATTGGTGGATTTTTCGTGGGATCAATGCTATAGTGATAGATAAGGGGATAAATGGTCCAGAATGTGGTACATTATAAATGCTAATGATTCACTATTCCATAGTAAATGGTCAATAGTGATTCACTATTCCATGGGATAAGTGAATAGTGGTCAGTAGTAAAATGTAGTAAATGATAAATGGTGGATAGTGGTACATGCTATTATCCTCAACAGCATTCATCTGAATGGTGGTAAATGCTATAGGATATGGTGCATATCAACATGGTGAATTGTGATACAGTCTACGAAATGTTTACCAAGCATGAGATTTATGATGTATCCCCAATGCTCCACATATGAAATATTTAACTATATATATATGTACGCATACATTAGAGATTGTATATGGCGTGTATAGATGTGTTTTTCGGACTTCTGATACTAACAGCACCAATCCTATCAGGATTTGGATTGTGAGGATATGGAAATCGTCGAGTGTTTGTGGACTATAATATATATATATATATAATTATATATATATAAGCAATAGCAAATCTCCAAAAAAATGAAATGCACTTTCACTATGGCTTAACTCTTAAATGGCAACTATAAACCAATGCAAATCCCATAGCAAATCTCAAGCATATGTACTTTAGAATCGGGTTTTACTTTTCTATCCTTTTGGGATACCTGATTCAATGAATTAATCTCCGCTCAATTGTCGGTCAACCGTTTGAACGAACACTGGTCAACTCTCTTTTCTGATTAACCAAACCTCTGGTATCATGGTGACAGGATGGATCGGAATGGCCTAGCCATAGTTTCTGGTGACAAGCCACGAGATCTCTATATTTCAGCCAGCTGGTTGATGGTTGTAAAGATTCACTACACATAACAAATGGTGGTTTAGAGTTTGGAGAAACTTGATCACCATGTGTTTTTCATGGTTTTTCATCTTCAAAGCTACATCACCCAACTTGCCATATATCATCAATATCCTGAAAAATCATAACTCATAAGACTATCAGGTACACCAATTAGATATACTTTGCGTGTATATATATATATATCATCATTCAGGATCTAACCGAATCTAACCAATAAGAAAAATCATAACTCATTTGATACTGCTCCGGTGTCCAGGATTGACAATGCCAGCACCGGTTCTGAGGATCTGTCAAGAACACAGCTGTCCGCAGGGCTGCATGGCGCAAAGGGGAGGCGTTTTTCCAAGGTTTCACGCGGGATTTTCTCGCCAGAAATTGGCGGTAATCATGTTAAAGTTCCCAAAAAAAAGATAGGAAAGGTTCAATTTACACAACTTTTGCCACGATTTTGCTAGGATTTTGCACCAAAATGGTGATTTGACGATCCAAGATGTCAGGGATGTGTTTCGAAATGTCTCCGATGTTCGGTGCTGGATGTCCTAGCTGCCCCCGGCATCGAAATGTATGGAACATGTATGGAAATTAACGACAAATCGATGGAAATTGATGAAATATGTTCAAAATGGGAAATGATACATACTGGAAATGAATGAGAAATTGATGGAACATGTTACAATGTTCAATCGTGTTCAAACATGTTCAAACTGGTCAAAATATTTAGACTGTCCAAAACCATCAAGGGTTACAAAAAAGTGCACTCTGCCCAGCGATTCACAGTGAATCACTGCAACTGGATGAACCGAAGATCTGGCTGCTGGTCAAGCTTTTTGCACAGTCACAAACTAGGATGGCTCATGGCTCACTCTTGAACATGGACGATCTTCTATACCCTGCAACATGTTTTTTAGATCGTGTGTACATAAATATGGTGTGTATATTATGTATATATATATATTCATTATATGTCCCATTTGTGGTTTAAAAAAATGAAGTGTGAAAGTACTCATCCAGGTACTTTCCCCAGTTGAGCAGTTCATTTTTCGCCACATTTTCACCAGGACATCTGAAGCACCCTTGGGGGCTTGGTTCGGAATCTGCAGAAATGTTGCATTCGTGATACATGAGGGATGTTTACGGCCTATGGATCACCTCAATGCAGAAATCCAGATAGCAGAAAAATATCCTGTTGGATTTTAATGAAAACTCTCTTTGGAAGACAGAGGCAATTAACGACTTCAAAAATTATCAGGCATGTGATCAAACATGGTAAAATGTGTTTGAGATTGTTTGGGTTTGACTGAAAGAGGTTGACCACTGGCTGAACGAAAGGTTCACACCCCTGCGAGAATCTTCTGTTTGGAAAGCTGCTGCCATCATCCACCGCAGGCGCCGGCCAAATCGACTTCCACCCATGCAGCTCCAGATAAAGCAAACACATGAAAATGAAGAAAGATTGGATGTCGCTGTCAGGACAAACGCTTCCGCAAAGAATTGTTCATCATTTTTCTCGTTCACAACGTAACTTACAAAAAATAAAACGCTGCAGGGCGTCGGAATCAGAGCTCAAACTGCAGGGATTCTGCGGCGACTGCATCACGTTAACACATACCAAGCTGGGGACTCACTTGGACTCCTGGATCGGCTCTTTGGAAAATACTGAGAAACGAACAGATTTGACTTGGCAATGATTTGGCATAAGATTCAGCAACAATTGATCCACAATATACCAACTTCTTGCAGTCTCGGGAGTAGACACGCGTGCGGAACAAAAACGAATAACCCTGCTTCACATCGAAACAATTGCAGCCTACGATGCCATCCCATAACTTCCCACAAGATCCTCAGATTGGAACCACCCGAAGCCTAGCTTGGGAAGTGAACTGAACATATCCATTCATATGCACACATAATATGTATATGTATACACACACATACATTACGTGTTTACACATTACAAACAATTACAAACATACATCCGAGAAATATGGTGTATACATATATATATATATATACTAAAGCAATTCGGATCCATTTGGTCCGGGTTCACTGATACGAATTCCACTTTGATGGACTTATGGACTCGTTTCCTTATGTTCCCTCACTCATCAAGCTTGCGATTTGAGCTCACCATTTCAGAATTTCAAGTGTCCTTTGAAGCCAGAAATACGCTCCTGCTTACAGTCCAAGTTTACTAGATGGCTAAAGTTGGCTTGACTGCTTTCCAATTTTTTTCCATGTTTTTTTCCTGTGAAACTTTCACCAAAATGGCTCCAGCCCTTCCCACTCCCTGCCTCAGCTTCGTCACTTGCCTTGTTGGCAGCTTTCTCTGCCAAAGCTTTAGCTTTCTGTTCCAACCTACAGTGTCTAACTGCAAAGGCTCTTGCGGCATTGTTTGCTACGGAATCGAATGAAATTCCTGTCTCTGGCAAAGGCTGAAGTATTTGGCGCTTTCTAACATTGCCTTTCTTGGCAAAACTGGTCACAGGAAGAGATACAGAACCTAGGGCTAGTCAGTGAAAAGATCTTCAACTGTACAATGGTTCAAGATGTGCTTACATTGTCTGTGCTCTCTGCAACATGGACATGTCGACATCACCTCAACAAATGGGACAATTGGTGTGTTGAACTACAGAACCCTCTGCAACGGTCATACATAACTTTGTCTGAGTTCTACAGCACCTGTATTGGAAGGAGAAGCGTAGGGTGCAAGGGAGATGTTTAAAAGGAACTGCGAGGACAGTCTGGGCAAGGTCAAAATATGGAATGTGGAATGTTTACATCGAGCACAGGTTTGCTAATCTGACCGATGTCCGCCCTCCCAGCAGATCCTTACAGGCTCAAGTATTTGTGCACTGAGATGATATGTTGGGACAAACGCTTGGTTTAAAGAGTCTAAGGACCGAGGTTCATGTTTTTGGTTAGCAACTATGCACAGCATGTATGCAAGTTGTCCATCGTTCCTGATCATTTCAAATAAAACGAAAATGCGGATCTCAATCTGTGGCAAGGCAAACGATTTCTGCAAACGTTGAATCCAAACAGGCCAAGATGAAAGAGTGATGCAGAAGCGCAGCGTCTGTGGCACCTCCTACAACACTTCTTCAGATTCCTCCTGGCGCAGGGATGTCCAGTGACATGCAATTTGGATGTTGGGATCTTGCTCACTGGTGCTGAATGTAGATTTAGTAGGGAATGGGGGTTGCTGGGATGATGGTTAACAGTCATGATCATTCCCCCATTCCCTACGTTCAGCACCAGCAAGGCAACGAAGCAATGGGGATCCGCTAGGGGCACCGGCCGCTAAGGGGATCTCAGGGCCCATGACTGCGGGAGCATCGTATGGGACAAGATGCTGACATGGCACGGGGCTAAGCCAAGAACCCCAGACATTCTTGACAGTTTCGACAATTTCTTGTGGTGTAGAATATGCAATGGCTGCAAACATCTGCAAAAACGGATAAGAATGTGATTAGAAATCAAAAGATCAACAATCAAATGATCCAAAATCAATTGGTCTCCAGTAAGGTGATCATTCTATATATATATATATTATATTATATATATTATATATATATATACAAATCCCCGTGGCCATTCCACTCCACCCAGCTGAGAGTGGCCTCTTTCGGCTTGGAGCATCTGAAAAACCACGGTAGCCTCAGACTCGCAGCAATCTCCAGCACCAGGCTACAGCCAGGGGATCCAAAGCTCCAAGTTTTACACAAGTTGAGGCAGTTGAGGCCCCGGGCAACCTCGGGGTTCTCCGGGTTTTTGTCCGGGTGCCAGACGCGGAGCAAATCCTGCGAAAAATTGACAAAAGGACGGACGTCGGAGTAACAACTCCAAATGGGGTGTGGCCCTTATGGTAGGCAAGTTGGTGAAGAACTATTTTTTTTTGAGTTTCTGGTGGTTATATTTGTAGGATGGGTTTGCAGTATATTACTTTGTAAACCAATTGTGGGACGTCCTTAAAACCTTTCTCGCGCGCTTCACGCGAAGGGTTTTGCTTCACGTGCTGCCTCAAGACTTCGAGGGGGCTCCAAGATTGAAATCGCCACCATGTGGCGTCCCCTGCCATGCACTGCCTAGTTGCAAAGCAACCTTTTGGGGTTCCATGTAAGCTCCTCTGGTGTGGGGCGGTCTAGGTGATGTGGATTAAAGTGGTGAAAGCTGGTATGTTGACAAACGCCTATTGCACTCAACATCAAGGTGCGATGGACCTGGGCAAAAAAAATATGACAATCAATTTGAAGCAGGATCCCCAGACATATGCGGTTTCATTCATCCAGGTGTCTTGGTGTTCGCCGTCGCTGGGGCACCGCACAACTGTCGGCGAGCAACAGCTTCTGCCTGCTTGGGGATCTCAAGCGCAACTTTCATCAGCCCCAGGTCATTGAATGGTTCCCATCCATAAAAAGACTATAGACGACAGTGCGGCCCCAAAGAAAGCAGGAGGGATGACACCAGAAAAATAATACACAACTTGATGCATGTTGTCATCGAATTTTGTTGGGGGGCCAGCCTTGGAATCCAGGAAAAGATTCTTTAACACTTTTCACTTTTTTGTGTAGTTATACATAGTTATACTTTGAAATTATATCCCATCTCTTCCCTCCCCAAACCATTTCCGAAAATATTTCAGCTACGCCAGTGAAGCTCAACTCCCTTCACTCGGTACCTCGGAAACTTCTTTCGGCTTCTCGCACAGGCCTGTGATCATTCTCACATTCATTCTCTCTGTCGGCTTTGCTTGATCCAAAAGGCATGTTGAAGCCACCTAGAATTGGGACCCTCAAAATGCACCTCTCTGCAAAACAGGATGCAAATACAGAACACTTGACATGCCCTTGTTTGAATTTGAACATGTAGAAGTTTGGACAGCAGAAATTTTGCGTATTTGGGTCACACAAAAATTGCTTTTCGGACGGAAGAGGAAGAAAACATTGAAGAGCAGAAGATGACAGAAGATGGTAGAATAGGAAGAGTGTGAACCCAAAAAGATTGCGCATTCCTGCCTTCGCTCCTGCCTTCGCTGTCTTTGAGCAAGAGTCGTGCCTTCCTGTGAAAACAGCCGGGAATGGTGTTTTTTGCATTTCAAGGATGAAATTATTTTTTTCGTCAAACAGGGTGAAAAGTTCACATCGCTTTGGGTATCTCTTCAATGAACTCGATCCATAAACTTCCGATGATCACACTCAGTGATGCGCCTCAGCAGATCATCGCTTTCTTTGAGGCTTTTCATCACCTGAGGCCGTGGCGCTCCACCGAGCGAAATCAGCGTGGATGAAAGATCGAAATGGAGGTCTCCAATCCATAGGGGTACCCCCAGTCATCATCCATTTATAGATGGATTTTCCATTATAATTTATAAACCATCCAGCGTTTTTGGGGTACCTCCATGACTTCGGAAGCGAGCACTTTGCCTTCTCTTTGATGTCCTCGTGTTCTTGCAGAAAATCACCTGGGAGGTTCATCCTCTCTGTCGGCACTTCCATAGTCTTCCTATCTCTACTTATTCATGTCTATCTTCTGTCATCTTCTGTTTGTTCTTCAATGTGTCCTTCCTCTTCTTGGCCTCTTCTTCCCTTGTCCTAAAAGTAAATTTTGACCCAAACATGCAAGAATTCTACTGTCCAGACTTCACATGGGTTTGTCTGAAAACAGGGTACCCTGAAATCCCGTGGATCCCCCCTTCAATATTTTGAGATCACTTTTTTGGGGGTATAGCCCATTTTCAGACACATCCGGTAGGTTCATAAAACCTTGTTAAACCCTGTTGAACGGCTATTTAAATCCTATTAAACAGCTCTTAAACCGCATTGGATCCATAATGTGAAAGGCACGTGCCGTGGTCGTCGAGGGGAAAGCCTGGCGTGGGCTACCAAAAAAGAAAAACAAATACTGACAATGGTGGATGAACCCTCTTTTGTGGCATTTTTTGAAGCTCAAAATGGGAAAATTATGATTCATCACTGCGATACTTGGTGGTTCACCCCACGTTAGCAAGTGGGGTTACCCAGTTTTATATGGGATAATCCACTTAGGAGACCCATTAACATGCAATGTTTTTTCCCTGAAAATCAAATGACTCATTAATAAGGGTTTAATAGGGCATTTAATTGTTTGGGAAAGCTTGCATTTTCAAGGCTTCAACATGGATATGGCTTTCTAAAGTAAATGGACCAGTTTTCCCCAAAGAAAGGTGGATAAAGGTGGATAAAGCTCCTCCTGAAAAAAATGGATCTGAGAAAAAAAAACTTACAATAGAGGCCCACCCCCTCCATGTGCAGGATACTCAATATTTTTTTGAAAAATGCTCACAATAGAGGCCCATGACACTAATCGATATCCAACACTAAGCACCATCAACAACGTTTATCCCAAATTAATCGCTTCCCACCCCCCAGAAACCATGGTTTAGTAGGAATCTACACATATTATCACATATTTGAAACCATTCAGGTGTTAGTACTGTAAGATAAATATGGATAGAATATGGATAGAATATGGATAGACAATGATGATTCATATTCTATGGATTCATATAAATATGGATAGACAACGAATATGGATAAACCATTCAGCGGGTGTTCCACAAGACGGTCACCAAACTCCACCAGACTCGCGCCTTGAATGACCTGCAAGGCCGTGCTGCGGTAAACCCGATGATACTCTTTGGTAATCAAATGTGCCAATCGAAAGTTCATAGTGGGTATGGGTATCAATAGTGTTAAGATGTGTTAAGATGTGTTAAGCCATCATTCTGGATAGAGAATTTTCACCGCCAAACTGAACCAGTGAGGTCATCATTGGATTAATCCCATCACCCCATTCACTGCCATTTTCAAGGCCTTGATATAAATCCCAAAAAGGTCTGTGGATCCCAAGGGAAAAAGAAGAAAAGCTGTGAGGAATACTGGCAAGCTGGAGGAATTTTGCTGTCACTCGACTGCTTTGCCAAACAAAAACCTCCAAAGGATGTATGTCTACTGATGAGAAAATAAAATCGTGCTACAATGGTACACTACTCTTTTATCTGTCCGGCGGCTTTTTGATGCTTTTTGGAAGCGAAGACTTCCTTCCAGATGGGATGCCGGTCATGTTCCCACCAAGAAACGGTCATTTTCCCACACCAAGATTCGGTCATTTTCCAACACCAAAAAACGGTCATTTTTCAACAAAAACTCCGTAAAATCAAGCACGGAATTCTCACCGCCGCCAAGATTCTGCGCAACGTAGCCGAAAAAAAAGGGGGTGCTGGCTCTTTTGGGACTCTTACAAACATCTCGGCGCCCACACGAATTTTTACATTCATATGCTATTTATTTTTTGAATGGATATATGGAATAATGTTTAAAGTTCATGTAAGGTTTTTTGAAACTGTTTCGGGTTGGTTTACAGTTTCAATTACGGTTGTTTAAGAGTTTATTCAGGATTGGTTTGAAGTTTATTTAGGATTGGTTCAGGATCTATCTAGAGTTGGTTTAGGACCTATTTAGGGTTGGTTTAAGATTTGTTTAGGGTTGGTTTGGGAGCTATTCAGGCCTGGTTTAAGATGTATTTAGGGTTGGTGTAAAACTTATTTAAGCTTGGTTTAACATCTATATATTTGGGTTTTATTTCGGTTTGGTTTAGGTTCTGTGTAGAGTTGGTGTAAGACCTACTCAGGGTTGGTTTAAAGTTTCTTTTAGCGTTGGTTTAGGATTTCTTCAGGCCTGGTTTACATCTATTTAGGGTTGGTGAGGGGTTGATTTAGGTTTGGTTTAACATATATTTGGGGGTTGGTTTTGGATCTATTTAGGGCTGGTTCAGGGTTTATTTAGGATTAGTTTCAGATTTATTTAGGTAGTGCTTAGGGTTTACTTAGAGTTGCTTTAGTGTTTTATTTGTTTTGGGCTTTGTTTAGGGTTCATTTGGGGCTCATTTAGGGGTTCTGTCTATGTATTATATGATGATATATGATGTTTCTTAGGGTTTATTTACGGTATGAGAAACAAAAGAAAAGCAGAGAAGCAAAAAATCTGGAAAAACAGAAAAGAAGGGAAAAGCAGAAAAGCGGAGAAGGAGAGAAGCAAAGAAGCAGAAAAGCAGGAAAACGCAGAAAAGCAGAGAAGCAAGCCAGCAGGGAAAAGCGGAGATGCAAAGAAGCAGGGAAAAGCAGAGAAGCTGGGACCCAGAAATCCAGAAAAAAAATCAAAACGGAAGAAAAAAACAAAAACTATCCCTCCATTAGTTACTGGTGTTTCGGGTGTGTTTAAAGTTTTCTTTGGTTGGTTGAAGGTTTATTTGCTGTTTATTTAAGGTCGCTTTAAGGTTTATTCAGGGTTAGTGTAAAATCTATTGAGGGACAGTGTCTGGTTCATTTGATGGTGATTTAGGGTTTATTTTGAATTGGTTTAGAGTTTACTTAGGGTTGGTTTAAGGCTTATTTAGGATTGGTATAGTGTTAATTTATGATCGGTTCAAGTCTGATTTAGGGTTGGTTTAGGGTTTATTTTGGGTTAGTTTGGGTTTATTTGGAGTTGGTCTATGTCTAATTTAGCATTGGTTTAGGGTTGCTTTGGGTTTTGTTTAGGGTCAGAATTGGTTTTGGCTTGGTGTAGAGTTTCTTCAGGATTTATTTACAACTCATTTCCGGCGTATTTAAGGTTTATTCCGCAAAGCTACAGAATGTAGAAACTAATGATCTTAACAACCCCAACCAAGAACCTCCGGAAACGAAGCAACACAAACACTGCGGAAACCTACGGGGTCACATTTAAAACCCAAACAAGACACTCCGAAAGCAAGAAACCTAGAAACCAAGAGACGCAGAAACCAAGAAACCCAGAAACCAAGAGACGCAGAAGCCAAGAAACCAAGAAGCCAAGAGACCCAAAAATCAGGAAACCAAGAAACCAAGAGACCCAAAAACCAGGAAACCAAGAAACCAGAAACCAACAAACCCAGAAACCAAGAGACCCAGAAACCAAGAGACCCAGAAACCAAGAAACCCAGAAACTAAGAGACCCAGAAACCAAGAAACTCAGGAACCAAGAGACCCAGAAACCCAGAAGCCAAGAGACCCAGAAACCAGGAAACACAGAAACCAAGAGACCCAGAAACCAGGAAACCCAGAAACCAAGAGACCCAGAAACTGGGGGAACAGAAAGTTATATAGAACCCTAGCGCGTTGCAAAATGAACGCAGCGGCTGCACGAACGAAATTTAGACACGAAGTAACAGCCCTGGCGCGTTGAGAAATGACCCCTGGCGCATTGAAAAATGACCTAAATACCGCGTTGTAAAATGACAATTTTCTCGCGTTGAGAAATGACCCCCCTTCCCTTCCAGATTGACTGAAATTTCGAAAAAAGGTGTGAGTTTCACACCTACACGTACTATGCTAAAGGGTATATAATAGAACTTATGATTAATACACAACTTGCAAGTAATTACCTCGTAGCTTCGATTTACTTTTATGTACCACACAAGACCCGATGTTGTCTTCATTGGTAAATGTAGAATGAGCATTGTATACTCGATCGATGGTCGATGTTCAACCCCAAACCGGTTGGATTTCAATCATTCACCACACTCGTTCCCTCGGCCTCGCATCGTTGGTTCCATTCTCCGCCGATTCTCCTGTGAGCAGCAATAGAAAAGTGTTCCCAGACCTGCAATTGCCGTACTATATTGCCATGCCAGGGCATAAACAAATGACAAGGAATGACCCAAAACCTTGATGGAAAAGTCTGATCTATTCGTGGTGGCGTCCCCGAAAATAGAATGTTGGTAGGATTAACTATAATGTATACAAATATATATATATATACACACATAGAATTAGTAGATAAATCTATATAGCAATCTACCAGTGCTAAAAAGGATGTATGTTTATCTTTTGGGAGTGCTAAAAGGTATTATCATGCGTCAAGTTTGCCTTTCAATCCGTTTCATCTTGCTAAGTGTCGCGCTGGGATTTGGCGAAAACCCGTCCTGGCAAGGGAACCCCAAACAAAGATGGTTAATGGAGGTGTATAACCATACTGGGAACATAATGAGATATTGTGAGTAACAAACTTGATATACTGTACAATATATTTTTTCAGTGTGGATGGCTACTTGGGGGTGCGTCCCACTTGCTACTGCTACAGAGGTTGTGTGGGGAATATCCCTAGTTATAGGTGGAGATGGGTAACAATTGTGAATCGCGGATACCTAATGGTATTGTCGCTAATGATCCTGATGTGTCGTTTCACGTTTCCAATGGTCAAGTGGAAAGCAGTTTCTGCATTGCAACGTTTTGCTGTGAACCTGCAGTTGGGGGTCTTGAGCCAAAAGGATCATCGGATTCGATGTCCTATGGCAACCGTAAGATGGCTATTTACATGGGATTAACGGAGTATGTTCTTACCGTATTCCCATTCGCACCCCCCACGCATGACTGATTTTATCAGTCACGCGCAGGAGAGCCGTCTTAAAGTCCCTTGTACTGCAGTTGCGTTGATTCAATTATGGAAAGTCGAAAGATCTTGCCACGGCTTGCTATGTCTACACCTGTCCATAAATGATGATCCGGCATCTGTACATGACACTTAAATCCACCAATCGCGGCGTTGCCGGCGAAGGGTTTCATACGTGCATGACATCAGCTACAAACTACGAAAACGAAAATAGAGCTAGAGATTACCCTCCTGCTCTTCAGAGACAAAGAAATGAGACATAGACCGCAGTCAAAACTTTAACTCACGATGCATTGTGTTTCAGATAGCATCGTATCCAAAAAAAAATACGGTTGTGAATCACGTGAATTAGCCGGCTCAGATTCCTCTCAAAAGTCATCGGACAGAATGATGAGGTTGATTTTGAGCGTTGATTGCCGTCCCATAAATGCAGCAATAGGACCTATGCAGAGGTCAGATACCATTATCCCCATCCTCTATGTCCGTAGTTGCGTCCAGTGTAGTTCCAGTTCCAATCACCACCCCGATGCGAGGGAGTCCCTCTGCCTCTTCCGCGGGTTTCCCATTCTCTCCACGGCGGTGTTGCTTTTGGTGGTGCTTTTGGAGCTTGCTTTGGCAATGGGGCAGCTTCTCCCGCGTCTGTGGACGAAGCGGAATGCGATGGTCCTGCATCATGAGTAGCACTGGATTTCGGCATTGCTTTTGCCTTTGCTTCAGCATCTCTGCGGATGTCTTCAGCTGGAGGCATGTTGGCAATTGCAGCTACATGCGCTTCCGTCATATGTGCTCCCCATCTTGGTCGTTGTCCATCGCGCTTCTTGCTTCTGTTGTGATCATCAATTGCATCGCATAACCTGTTCAGCAGAGGGCCAGGTAGTCGTTGACCATTCTGTAGGATCAGGTGCATGACAGTAATGCGTCTGAGCTGCGGTCGGCAAGCACAAAGAATGTCGACTGGATTGAGTGTCACTGCGGCCTGATAATCCACATTCCTGAAGAAATAGACAGCAGTCACCTGGTAAGCTCCAGCGATCACTCGTCGAATAAACGTCGACTGTGCATCCAGTGATTGTCGGGCAAGCGCTGATTTCCTCATTTCTTCCGCAGCAGTGTCACCTTTTGTCAACTGTTCAATGTTCTCATCTCCAAACATCATTTGTAAGTCAGAGAATTCATATCCACATTCCAGTATGTAGGTGACCAGCTTCTTGAATATGAGGGATCCATGATACGCATTTGTAAAGCCCTCTTCTCCCAGGTCGTTCTTTGACTTTGGGTCGCCGACCTCCTGGTAAAGCGCTTTCATCTGATCATCAGTTGGCTCAATGAGTTGCCCATCATCATCTTCCCCTAGGTAAGGAACCCTGGGGTCAAGGTCCAATCGATAGTTTGGGTTCCTTTGAAATTGCTGCCATCCACACTCGAAATCATCACAAAAATTCCGTTGGAAGTGTCTGTAAATCCTGAGTATGTTGTTTCCAATTTGCAGCAACAAGATCTTGATGAGGTCGGGTTGAGCGTCGCCAATCTGACATGGTTCAGCTGGTAGAACTTTGGATCCGAATTGTACGTGTTTCATCCATGCAGGATATGTGATGTTTGCGCTCCTTGCTTCACCAGCATGGTATTCTCCAATGTCGATGTTGGCATCATCTGCTCTTCTTCCTTCTGCCGTTTCGGCCTTTTCACGTTCTTCTGTGAGGAAGTCATCAACTTCATCTTGCTCCCTGAAGTCCCTCTTCTCCGACTTGAGCTCGTCAATGTCCGATTTTGGATTCATGTCAACATTGTCTTGTTGAGATTCCTCTTGCGGACTCTTCATCTCGACATCGTCATCCCCTTCAACTTTTGCATCCTCTTCGTCATCACTGGTCGGCTCAATCTTGATCTTTTCCCAGGTCTGCTTGACGTGGTCCTTGACGTCTTCCTCGTGCGAACGTTGTTCGGCAGTCGGAACGCTGGCGACTGTGATCTTGACACGTTTCCTGAATCCGTGGCTGATAAGGTACCCTTTGCAGAATACACAAATCGACAATGTCGCCGGAGTCTCACACAAACAAGCTGGGCAAAGTCTGTGGCCTTCCCTGTTCGGACGATGAGTAAGTGCAAGCAATGCAATGGCATCATACCAGTCATTGTGCTTCGGGAATAGTCGGCAAGCAAAACTTTCATGCGCCGTCTTGATGTCGATGAGTTTGCGAAGCTCACTCAAATCTGGAGATGAATCATCAGGTACAACGTTTCCGATGAGATTGTCAAATCGATCCATGGTTGCAATCTTCTTTGCACCCTTTACAGACAGCACAAGTTGCTCGTAACCTCTTGTGACCATCAGACGATAGAAATCCTTCTTTTCCCAGTCATAGTACCAAACTGCATCAAAGGCACTGAATGGGATCGTCTGCTGCACCAGGATGTGTCCATCTGGCTGAAACTCTAGGAGCAAATTTGGCAATGGATTCATAGGACATGTAGATGTAGACCAGGTCTGCACCTTCGATCTTTCTGAACCTCAAAATCGATTGGCTCCTATCATCCCATGGTGCGAAAGGTACGAAAAATGTGTTGATTCGGTCTCCTCCTCCTCCTGGGCGTAAGCCCTCTCTGAAGATTTGCGATATGCACTCAAACGTCGTGCAATGGAAACCACCTCCTAATGTATATCCTACACCAGGGTTCATCAAATAAGAGGTCTTGCTGTCATCGATCCGAACTCCGCCTTGTATCCTTGAATGAGCCATCGGCGCTCTGATCGCCACTGGCCAGAGCCAAATCTCCCGATCGTTGTCACCGATCTCGATCCTCAGTTTCAGGCGGTTGATCCTCCTCGTGAATGCATTGTCAGCCTTCAAGAATCTTTCCAATTCGCCTTTTGTGACCTTCAAGCTAAGGATCTGTGCTCTGATCCTTCTCTTTTGCTTGTACTCAGCGAAGATGATCTTCTGGAACAGGTCCCACCTTTCAACGATGATCGAGTAGTCAGGTTCTGAAGTTCCTGCCAATGTGTATCCATCTCTCCATATTTGGTCATACTTCATGATGTGCTCAACATTGACCCATCCAGCTTCATCGCAGGGCAGCCCAAAGTGATCTTTCTTGTCTTTGATACAACCAATGGAGTGACGAAGGGCGGCATTGAACCTCTTTGAAAGATCGATTTCTCGTTGAGGTGTTTCCCATTTTCTTCCCATCCACTCATTCTCGGCATACTTCTTGACATTGCACCATCCGTTGCCAACATATTCTTCACCTGAAAGTCTGGCCATTTGGAGAACGCCAACATCGTGACCGTAAGTGTATGGTTGAAGATAACGGAAATTCCAGTTCTTACCATGTTCAGCTCGCTGTTCATCCAGCCACTTTCGGAACTGATCTGGGTTCTTGGGGTTCAAATCAATGAGTTCTCGGATCGTCGGAAGAACTGGAGGAGAATCTTCGGCAGCCCTCTCAACAAGTGCATCAAGCTCTTGACGAGATAACACGCCTTGGCCTGGAGGATGAACTTCAACTCCGTTCACAAGGAAAGATCCACCTTCTTCTCGATCACCAACTTCATACATGAATGCAGGTTGGCTGTAGAAGCTCTTGGTCACTTCTTCCTTTTCTGTGAACCTCGTCCTTCTCCATCTCTTGCCTTCAGGCATGATTCCTCTCTTTGGAAGCTTGTCCTTCCTTCCTCTAGTGGCTGTTCCTGATCTTTCAGAAGAAGATGGGGATTTTGATTGTTGTTCCATCATCAGTCTCATGCGCACAATAGCATCGATCACCGACTCATTGTCCTGTGCTTGGCATTCGTCAATGTTGTGATTGCCTCCACATACAAGACAGTATCTGGCGTTTGATGCATCTGTGACCACCTTCTCAAACTGATCACGGAGATTTCGAACTTCCGTCCGGCGTTTCTTCGCCTCGGATGGTTGACCCCCCATTTCCTCTGCATCATCATCAACTTCAATATCATCATCCCCTGCGCCTGTCTCACCCGAAGTTTGCTCCATGCGAGCACCACGCGCCGTGGGCGACGAGGGCTCATCCTCAGGCTCTTCGACTTCGACAACCTCTTCTTCATCTTCACTGGATGATACCTCGATCAATTCAGGATTGTCATCGTAGTTCGCAGTTGGGATATTGGGCATCCTTGTGATCTCCTTTTGCATGAGCATGTCAAAAATCTTTGCCTCCCTCAAAATTGCTATCACCATCTCGTTTTCGGCTGAAGGGATATACGCCTTCCTTGATCGATTGCGTTTTGTGTTGATGGTTTCAGTTTGGCGACAAGAGCTACTGAATAGCCAAAATGATTCTTCAAGTCCAGCAAGGCAACTATCGATGTTCTCTCCCCATCCACTGAACATTGTGGGGAACTGAATTCCCAACTCAAGAGTTCCAAGCCAAAATTCGAAGATGTCACCAATGTACTCTGCAGAAGCATTGAGGGGCAAAATTGATTCAATCTCTTCTTTGGTCAACACTGTTCATGTAGTCATGGTATGCGACATTTCCTCCATCCCAGAGCAATCTGTAGAACCATCGAATAGTGCTGACGCATCATCGCCGTCTTCACGTCGTATCTCG